CACAAACAAACACGAATCAACCAACAGCCCGAGTATACTCATGTTCAATGACAATAGGCCATCAAGAGCAGTCCCCTTGCATCGGCGAACGCTGAATAAAAAATCCTATCTTTTGCGTGCTATTCCCTGGGGATGGGACGAATCACGGTTCACATTCGTCTTCACTGGAAATGATTCTGGTCAATTAAAATGCACACTGATTCGTACGTGCAAGTGATTATTCGGAGGCGTTTGTGATTTTTAGTTTGTGTGGATCCCCCTGTGTGCATGCAGTCGTAGTTTTTACTAGACCATTACTCTATGATCGTAGCCGTGGAAACCACAGGGCCTCACAGTGGTTATTCACAGGAAAATGAACTAGGTAGTAAATTAAACAACCCATGGGGTTAACCACTTCGTCCATCAAGTTAAAATTATTACCAAATCTAATCCAATTACCCAATTACCTGTCTGTTTACCCAAAAAGGACAAAATAGACGTGTGTTTTTTAACGAAGGACGGAGGGAATCGCTTTCAAACACTCCAAACAAATTGGTTGAACTTTGCCTGACGGACAGATGCCAATTTTTTTGCCGTACACCCCAAGGTAGCAGAAATGGAACATAGTAGATGATCTAAAACGGATTGCGGAACTCAACAGGATTGATGGTAGAGGAGGACATGGTGATGGTCCCGGTTTTCATGCGGGTGAGCTGCTGAATGAGGGTGTGGGGGGGGGCTGTAAGACTGTGGGCTGGCATGACTGGGTTAATCACGCCAATCAGAGGGAACAGCAAGAAATCAGAGTCCTAGAAAAATTTAAACACAAGTGAATGGCAGGCAGAGGAATACCGGGAACCGCTGCATTCCGCCACAAATTGCAAGATTAAACTATCTGAGGGCGGAGGGGGGGAGATATAGATACCTTGTGTTTAGATTTGCGTAATGGACAGGAAACCGAACGGCGTAGCACTCTCAATTCGGTCACTTACCTTTTTTCAACAAATCCTTTGGTTGTGAGGTTAAGGCATCC